CAGACTGCTCGCCTTTACTACTTCCTTCACCACTTCCTATGTCGTGGACCTGTTTTCCTCCCTTTCCATAGCATTTAAGGATTGCAGATACCGTAATCTAATCGTCATAAACAGATCCCACACTCCACACTGCTACCCTTGACTATAGAATCTAGTAATCTTCAGTATAATCTTTGCTCAATAGTAACAACTGATGTTTTTCCTTTTGTAGTATATTTTGTTTTGCTAGTATACTTTGGATAGACAAATTAAAAGCTACAAGTCTTTTGTTTACTTTTTCCTTGTTATTTAATTCAGCCAACATGGTTGCCTAGCAACCCATAAGACTAATATTAAAAAAATGTGATTTTCAATTTCATTTTTCTACGTAATTAGATTTTTGATGGCAGTTCTAATTGCAGTAAACTCGTTTTTAGGCCAGAAATAAACTATATACAACATTTGAAGAAAATCGTCGGAGCCGTTTTCGAGATCTTGGTGCAAGCATACATACATACATACATACATACATACATACAAGCAAACTTTGCTCGTATTAGAGTATAGGATTAATGAATCTTAACAGCTGTTTCAATTAAACAAGTTGGTTCTGTTCTATGATGTTCAATAGCATTAAAGTTACAAGGATTACCTACAGGGTGCAGCACTATTATTTTTTTTAATTTATGACAACAGCTAATTTGCAACCAAAAGGTGAGTGAGCGTAGCGAACGAACTTCAACCTGGAGGGGGGTTAGCGTAGCGAACGAGCTAACCTGAAGGCAACCTAAAGGTGAGTGAGCGTAGCGAACGAACTTCAAGGACGTGATTGAGCCATGTGATCGAGCTCACTTATGAAGTTAAACCGTTAAACGGAGTGTAGGAGCGCTGGCGACCCGGCTTATCGAACTCGTAAATTAAGGGGTCATTAGAGTGTCGAGGCGAGTGGGGAAGACTACCTGACATAAGCCTATTCTCCCTAACAGTAATGAACGGGGCAAAGCCTGCGGGTACAGCTAGTAATTAATAATAGTTAAATATACTTCAAACTTACTCTACTTTAAAAATCACTTGGTCATTAGAGCATACTGTGAAATATATAACTTACGTGATTTAGAAATACATCCAAATCATAATAAATAATGAATAATGAAATCAATAATGAATAAGTTGATATTAAATAAATTGTCTAAAAATTTTAAGTGATGGTTGGTGGTTGCTTTGAAAATAATCAATTAACATGAGCAAATATAAAAATATTGAATCTTCTTGCAAAATTAATGTCGATCATTAATAGAATAATGTGGTTGCTGTGACTGGGATAATAATTTGGATAATGAAATATACTAAATAATTTCATTCTTTCTTAAATGAGCATTCTTTCGTAAGTAATAAAACATAGCCCATAATTATTGAGAACTTTCCAGTTTGTTTTGTTTTGTTTCGTTTCGATTTAGCCTAACCTCAAATTTTGACAGTATGATCACATTATCGCACTACAGTCAAATAGGTTTATCTTCAAAGATATTCCACCACACCTCAACTGCTTCTAGCTAAAAAAATCCAACTGTACCCCACTTCTACTGGTCCCGGTCTAAGGTATGGTCTCCTAATCCGCACTTCCACTGGTCCCGTCGGATTACGGCTAGTGTTTGTATAGTTATCAATGCCCATTCATCGGTAGGAGCCTGAGGTGTTTCAGTAACATTAAAAAGCGCTGAATTAAATGTATAAAATTATAATATGCTTGTGAGTTTAAGAGTTCTTGAAAGCTAGCGGCCATCTTGTATAATTTCAAACAGCTGCTGAAGAGTTAATTATCATCCAAAAATAGTTTTTCAAACACCAAAGTGATTACGTAAATATGTAGTATACTGTGAGGTTAGAAATGTTGTTTAAGTTGTGTATTATTCCAGCTTCAAGAACGAATTATTAATAAACTAGTTTACCTTGTGGTTGCCAGATTCTTGAAATGTGTAGTTAGATATCTTGCTCGATGTACATTTCGCTACATGTGTAGCATCGTCAGGAGCACAGTTTTCTAACATCGTAAACTCACCCCCATCCCCTGACCGAACCTCCCCAAACATACCTCCTCAAGCCAGTTGTCAGTCAAATAGTGACACATGTAGTGGCTCCGGTCCGCGCCGTGGTCCGCGCACGCGTTCGCGCGCTGGATTCCTATGACTTTACCGTAAATCGTCATCCGACCGAAAATGTAAATATTTGTAAATAGTGTTTGTGTTAAATAGACTAATGTGACAAACTGTGCTCCTGACGATGCTACACATGTAGCGAAATGTACATCGAGCAAGATATCTAACTACACATTTCAAGAATCTGGCAACCACAAGGTAAACTAGTTTATTAAATGTTGTTTGTTGTTTTTGAATGTATTTCCAAGGGAGTCCATGGAAGCCAACGGCCATCTTGGATTTGCCCGCCATACGAGCAATGTTAATTTTGTTATTTTCAAACAGCCACCGAAGGGTTATTTACGACCTCAAAATACTTGTTCAAATATCAAAGTGATTATCTAGTTTACTGTGAAATTACAAATTTGCTTTGTATTTTTACGGAAAGTAAATAAAAGAAACGTCTTATAACACTTGAAACATATATTTACGCTTATACTGTTACTCACAAGACGGTAAATATACAAAAAAGATGGTAAGTGGTAAGTGGCTTTCCGTAAATTTAATAACACGTACAATGCTGATCAAGAAGTTACTTTGTATTTTTTTAATTGTTTTGTGAGTTAGAACGTCTAGGCTCTAAGGACTCATAATGAGAAATTTCAGCGAATGAGTTTCAGTAATGGGACAGGATGCATTGGGTTTTAATTCCTAGGGATACTAATAGGTACCGATACTAATACCTAAAAATATTACATAAATTATTTTTTAGAACGAAATATTTTATGTTTCTAATAATTCGCCACATTCAATGATGCTGAGAGCGCTGCAAATATTTGCTGTTTTTTTACCTGTACAGTGAAGTGATGCATTGTTTAGAGCTTTGCGATGACATGATGACCTGTCGAGGGAACTCCAAAATTCGCACAATTCTTTGACGAAGTATTTATTGTTTGTTTACTTGTCTTGTTGGCTTCATGCCTCATTGCCCCGCTGGATTAGCCGCCCCAAAACTACCTGGATCCCTCGGGACCAGTGGAGTCGTTTTAATGAATCCTAACCTTTTTTGACCATCGGATGAGGGGAACTAGCTAACCATTACCCAAAACCCTCTGGGGCGGAGCTCTTTTGACGGATCTGCACCAAACTTCACACAAACAATCCTTGAATAATGTTTAATGCCTGAAATTTTCATTACAATCTGTCGAGCGGTTTCGGAGTCCATAGGGTATATACACACATACTTCCACTTTTATAGATATAGATTTTTTTATATGCCTGTTTTCCTTGTTATTTCTTCCACCATGGTTATTTATGGTTAGTAATTAGGACATTCATCATTGTTATTGTTATTGTTTTTGCTAGTCATTGTTATTAATTTTTATTTAATTGTTATTTGTTTTTGTTACCTATGTCTAAGTATCAAAAATGTGTGTTGCTGTTTAACATTAACCATCTTGTAACTGTATACATTAATGTTTCTAAACTAATAGTACTACATCAAAATGTCCGTTGAAATAAAATAAAACAAGGAGTTCAAACAGGGATTTTTATCGGGAATGTTAATACGTTCCATATGAATTTTAATTGCGATATTAGAACCAGCATCTGCGGAGACGTCAACTTCTTTGGCCGCAGTGTCTCCTCCTCCGAAACGAGTGCCGTACTCAGAAGAATGCTCATGTAGTGAAATCTTGTTAATAATGTCACTCATCTGTTTCTCTTTTTGTTTTACTGTTGAATGGTCTATTTATTTTGTTTTTGTTGTTAAATAGTCTATTTATATTGTTTTTGTTGTAAATGATCTATATTGTCTTGTTCAAAATGGTTTGTTATGTAGTTTTCGTTGTTAATAGTCTATTTATAATTGTTTTTGTTGTTAAATTGTCTATTTATATTGTTTTTCGTGCAACATGCCTGTATAGCTGTCACGTCCTGTAAATCATGTATATTTATTAATCAAAACTGTGTTGTTATCGCATTTCATATTATTATATTTCATATTATTTATTAGTATTTCATATTTGTTATAATATGTAATTATTGGTCGCACTATAACTATTTCACTTTAAGTCACAAAATATTTTTATCAATCTCAACTTAACTCTCTTGTAAAATGGCGTTTGCCGTGCATGTAATAAACAAATAAATAAATAAATAAATAGAACCAAAAGTCTTGTTTATAGCTCGTCCTAAAGAAAAATCTATTTTGTGTACAATTCAAAGGACGGTCCTATACTTTTATAATACTACTACTGTAGTAGTACTAGTACACAAATATTTAGACAGTGTATGCGTATGATTAGTGGAAGTACAATTGTAGATAAGTTAAATAATAAATATCTAGACATTATTACCAAAACAAAATGGCAATATGGAATGGGAAAGTCTATTTTGTTATTCATTTCTGTACGTACAATTATTCCATCTGTTGCAGTTGCATTGTCACTTTCGGAAAGTTAGAATAGAACAGATAGAACAGATATCTTTCGCAAATAGGCTGCCCCATCCATAAAGCTCATACGTGAAAATAAACACGTTGTCATAAAATTTCAATGTTTTGAATTTTTTATATTTTGTTTCAAAAAGTATGTTAGAGTCGTATATATAAAAAATATTCAACGCAAGCTAGCAAACATACACATAGTACAAATGAGCAAGAAGCGCAGTACCACGGACTAGGGAAGAAAAGTTTTGTTTCCACTTTATACTACTTTTTTCCCCTAGTCTGAGACAGTACCTACGTAAAATAACAAGCATAAAATACCCAAGGGAATTTCTTTACCAAGCGGGGTAATTTCGTTCCCCCTCATTAACGAGAGTTGGTAGACCTGTGCGCCATAGCAACACAGCGCGGCAGCGCAGAGCGCAGTCGTTTCCGAGACCGTGCTTTGTGAGGTAGGACTGTCCGTTCTTTCCCAGAACTATGGATTGTTACAACTTTGAGTGAAAAGTGTTCAGTTTACAGTTTCCATTGTTGAGAAACTATCGGATAGTTTCACTTGTGGTTTGTGACGTGTTTTGTTGGTTTAGTGAGTGAAGTGCACTGGATTTTGTTGGTGTGTTGCGGCAATTTTTTGCTGTGGAACTAAATAAAGGTACTTATTAACTTAGTTTTGTTTTAATTAGTATTATAGGTTTATATAATGGTTTCCTGCTTTGCTGATACAGAAGGAAGGCATTAAATGGTGTTTGTTGCCCGGCTGAGCGGCGAGATCCCATATTGATTTGGTTGGGCTGATCCACCCTTCTGAGGTTATGCCTGGCATGGAAACTGCTTTTCGTTCCATACTTTCCCTGTTTTATATTATACTGTGACTGTACAGTTTGAAATGACCTGTACTCGGTTTGACCTCTACAAAGATTAACACAATATGTGTCCCTTCCACGAATTTATTACAGTAGGTTAATAAGTTTATGTTTCATTGTACAACCGCACTTGGTCTATTCGCAAAGACTTGAACAAGGGACTGTCTAATAAATCGTTTAAAGTATTTGATCTATTACCTGCATGAAGCCGCAGCCAGTTAGAAGTTTACACTAGGTCACTTACATTATATATAACTTATTTCAAGATATCACAGTCCACACTAGGTACGATAAAAAAGGCTAATTGACATTTTCCAAACATGTAAGCCTAAGTTTAATGTTTATTCATGTTCACGGAATACAGCATGTAATAACCCTTAAGACGGCGTGTAAATATTAGTGCAATAAGTTATAAGGGAATTTATAGGCTATTTGATCAGCATCAGCGTTTACAAATAAACTTGGTTATTATTTCTGGACCATGGATCATAGATTAGATATGTTTCATGACAACTATATAACTAAGCCTTGTTTTTTGCTTAACTTATGATCAAGTTTGGAATGTACTATGAAAGTTTAATTAAATTTACGGGAAAACAAATCTGACAGATTTTAAAACAATATTTCAGGGCATCCTTCCTAAGACCTAGGAGGAATGCTATTTGTTTGGTGGAATTTTTGCGAAGAGATTTTCTACACTGTTGGTTGATGTAACTTATTTTTTATAGCCTACTTGTTTCTATGGCATAGTAAATGGCGATAGACTAGGTATTCTTCTTATGGTAATTCTAACTTATGGAATGAATTTATTTTCATAATGAAACAATATTCTTATGGACATGCCGAGAATCGAATCCGTTACTTGCCTACTCTGCTGATGTGTCAGCCACTATACGTGTATACTCAATGCTATTAGATTAGCGATGTACCGCATCTTTCAGTTAGGCCTAACCACAATTCACAATTGCTCTTATAAAATCTTCTTAGGCCTAGATGGGACTTCCTTTCCGGTAATAAGACAGTCGTGTTGTTGACCTTCTAAATATGGTTATATAATAAATTCTGTGCCGGGGATTCCCTTCATGGATATATTCGTATTGCCGCTAGTTCTAAAACAGAGTAGGGAGAGGTAGTCTACATACTCTGTACCGAAAGTCGTCTCTAGTGGGTTGGAGAATGGAGAAGTATCATGTCCATTCGATCCATTTGGTAGCTGTAAAAAATCTCAGTCGATTTCTTATCGTTATATTGTACATTAAAGGTATTTGTGTCACTTGGCATTCCTGAGATGAAACAATCCTATCGCGGTGTGGCCAATTTCTGTATATTATTAACCTATTGGAAATTGATTTAACGTCAAGTATCTTTTTTGCCAATGGGTCAACACATGATTGTCCAAAATCTCATTATCTAGGATATTTTCTAGACGAATACGAATGGAATGACTGCGGAAAGAATAAAGCACGAAATTTATTTGTTAAACATGGAAATGCTATTTTTTGCTTTGCTTGGATAGCCTGCTAAGGCACAGTGATAACTTCATACTTTCTTTCGTCATTTTTGTTGACAAACAGTTGCTCCATGGATAGAGTCAAAATGTAACTAATAATTTGAACTGAGCAGTCCGTCAAAATAAAAGATGATAACTTAGATCAATTAGAGTGACCCAGATATATATTGTTTCATTGTGATGTAGCTTACCTGACATAATATGTTATGTATCCAATTATTTCAACCAATGTATAACGAGAAACTCTCACATGGAGATAACTTATTACGGATCGAGACAAACCACTTGATAACGGCATTATCACTCTTTGTAATTTAATCCCTGAATTCTTGGATGCAATTGCACGCTTTACCACCAAACCATCTGTGCTTAAGTGAGCCTTTCTTTTTTACTTGTTTTTAACCATTTATTTTCTTAAGTAAGAAGATAATAGCAGTAGGGACTTGCAAGGTGGCTCGGGGTACAAGTGCAATGTCACGACAATACCCGAGAGGTCCCCCCGTAGTCACGTTCGGCACGCGTGCCCCCCCCCCCCCCCGAGGGCTGACTGATTGTTCTTATCCCGGGGGGCTGATTACCCCCCCCCCCCCCCACGCACACACACGCACTAGGGGTGTCGTGTCTGTATCAATCATCTCCGAGATTCTTATGTCGTCTGGTATAAGATCTACATTAAACTTCCAGCTTGTGCCAATTCCCTATAGGGAAGTAGCTATTACTGTAGGTCTCATGGAAAGACTTGAGCCCGGGACCGATTTACTTTTTCATTTTGATGTCCCCAGAGGCCAAAAAACATTCTTTCAAATGTTTATATAATAGGCTATATAAGCCTATGTGTGTGTCCGTGAACGCGATGACTTGAGTAATTTTTGTTTGAATTTTATGTAATTTGGCTTGAAGGAGTGAGGTATGATAACTTCAATGAGTTCGCGAACCAGCATAATTGGACCATGAGAACGGGGTTTTACGGGAGTTCTTATGGGGTAACAATTAATTGGGGTTTCTCATTTTTGATTATCAATACACAAAATTTTCCAATTTCTCTCTGGACCATTTTAAAGATTTACTGCATTGAAGTGTTTTTGTGCAGTTATTGGTTACTGAGAAAATTTAAAATATTGTAAATTTAAAATCACCATGTTATTCTTATGTGTGTGTCAATACTGTACTGTCAATAGTGTTATACTTTCAAACTTTTTCGTTTGCTTGTTATGGATATATTTTGATCAAACTTGGCAAATTTATTAATTTTATACTAAGCTATTAATATTTTACTAAAAACACACTTTAAAGGAACATTCATTATTATTGTTGATTTTTTTCGATAAGCCTATATCGATATTTAATTTTTGTATCGATAACAAATTGAAACTTGTCAGCTGACAACTCGATTAAGAAAATATTGTTCAGTACCAACAAACAATTTAATGAATTCAGTAACAAAATGTTGATATGGGATTTATCGCCAAGAACGAAAATAGTGCAATTGGATTTTTTGAAGGTTTATTATAGTGAACGTCATTGTACTAATAGTCATGGTGTGATATATTATTTTTACGAAGAAAGCCTATTCTGGAAATTGCAACGTATGTAAAAACAAGGTAGGTCTACAGTTAGAAATTGGTTTAAGGGAAGCAGATCACCCTTTTTAGATCTGTATTAGTTTAGTCACTTATTTTGATTTCGTTATTGTTTGATTTATGTCTTTTACAATACCTACTATAAAGTTTTGATTCATTTATGTACGTTTTTATAGGTACACAATTAAGAATTAACATAACCTTACACTAAAGAAAGAACAGTTCACGATTTGTATCGATTGTCGATAGCCTATATAATTTATTAGTACCGTATCAATATATCGAAAAAATCTACGATGATAATTAATGTTCCATTTAACAGAAAAGTACCCCATCGCCGATGTATCATTTATAATAGGTATATCGAAAAAAATCATCGATAATTATTAATATTCCAGTTAACAGGAAAGTATCACATTATTTTAATTTCAGGCTTGTTCTACGGCTTATTTGATAAATACGGAAGAACTTGATTACAAGTCTATCAAGGGAATTACAAAATAAAACTTGATATCAAGGTTGACTTTTTAGAGGATTGCAATAGTCTATGCAATAGGGGAAACATAAAATGTTAGGCAATTGAGAATTATTATTGTTCGAGGGTATTCTTATTGAGATCCCAATGTATATGCCATTTAAGCATGTAATTGACTGAATCATGCAAATAATTTGCCTATTTACAATGTGTATTTGGTATATTAGCTTCACATTAAGAATTTAAAACATAAACTATTAATATGTAGGTAGATTATTTATGTTTTCAAATTGTTTATGTCAAAACATTTCACTTGACGTTTTTTATTGCACAATGCCATGCCAGATGTAATCACAAACATAAATTCGTCTATCACATAACATTGCAGAACACCACACCATACACACACAGGTCGGTTCAGCGCTGCCAACCACGCAGGCGAAAATTCCCTGTAGTGAAAGTCGAGGGGATATTCAATGGCGCGGCCTTATGCAATGATAACTCGCATTCTGATATGGCAATGTTGACTTCTGGGCCACTTGTATAATTTCCTGTTTCAGTTCAGTAGGCTATAATATTTACCAGCCACTCGATATAGGGGAAATTCAATAATGTAGGCTAATTAATTTTACTAGTGTCCCTGTTGCTCGAATTCGAGCAATTGCTAAGTATTACAGTCGTTATTTTAAAACAAATTTCAACCAAGTTAGCAAATGTTTGTAGGAAACTGTAAAATTAGCAAACTTATTGACTGTTTACAATTAACATGCTCTTCTTCTCACTTTTGATTTCTGACAACAGCTGGAGTTTCATAACATTTTTTGTTTCCAATGTTAATCTGATGGAGAAAAACGAAACTTTAAAGGGCTCCAGGGCCTCACTCTCTCATTATTTCCCTAAAAAGAAAGTTTCCTGCACAACTTCACGTCACGCTCTTTCCAATGGCACCAAAAACATGTCAATCGGTTCAGTAGTTTCGGAGGAGTAATTGTCAAAACAAATCTGCTTGCGTATTTAATAAGTAATAGATAAGTTGTAAGTGTCTGTTTATTGAGCACAGACGTAATCAGTTATATCGTTGTTCATAAACAAAAATGGTAGTTTGGTTTGATAATAATTTTATTGGCATATTGTCTGGTGAAGACATAAAAGGTGATAGAAGAGATTAAAATCTGTCTGTTATGTATATTCAGATTTTCTTGACTGCTATATAGGCCATTAATA